CAGTCACTATAATCATGGCCTCATGGGTAATGCATTTGTGGAATCTCACAGAGCTTGCTGAAGGAACCTGCTTGAAGAATTATGAATATCTGGGGAGTGGGGAGGTTTATGACAAAGTGAACAAGAAATGGACTCTTGAGCTTCCAACAGATTCTCACTTGCTAGTATATCTTTTTTTATTTTGGTAGGATGAGTTGGGGGATCTCCGTTAATAACAATTCACTTCTTTCATTACAGGAAGTAGCAGAGAAACTTGTGTTGCATGTGCTTCGGGTCCTCACATTATTCTTCATTTGTTGTATATGCCCATTTGTGAATTTCATAACTTTGATTTTGAAGGTCAAAGGATTGGCATGATCTTAAGCATTGACATTTTAAACTCTCCTCTGCTATTTGTTATTTGTGAAAATTCAATGGTTCATTAAATAACCAAAACTAGTTTGATTTTCATAAAGAAAACCAAAAATTATGGCAGTCTTAAATGCCCAAAAATTGAGCCCAAAATAATGGCAGATGGTGTTTTCTTCTATTGTTCCAGAGGAAAAACTTGAATTAGGCTCAAATTGGGTTTAAAAGAAGTGGCAGCATGGTTTATTTCCAAAAATTTTAGGGGCATGTAAGACTTTGTGACATGGTTTTCAAATCCATGTCCAAAGTGTAAAATTGAAAAGAGATGAAAAAAATAACAATTTACCCAGGAAAGTGGGCGTTGCAAAAGAACATGAGAAAATAAGAAACTTCATTTACCTGCGTAAGTGCATTTGCCCAGGTAAATGTGTTTCCGAAAAAAGAACATGGCCTAAAGCAAGCATTTGTACTAGTAGTATGGGGGCAGCAACACACAAACAACTAAATCTCTAACCATGATAAGAACATTGAACATAAGAAAAAGAGAATAGGAAAAGTAAAAAGCTATTGGTTATATAACTTACAACTTGATTTTGAACAAAGCAATACAGATGTTATAGCGCGTTATGGAGGTTTTCTCAGAGGAATAGAATGGACGGGTAAATGGAAAGCATTTACTTGTTAGTTGTTTAGTCCGTAGTCGAAAATGTGTTACCCCAGAACCTGGAGGCCATATCTACAAAGAACTTGGTGGTTAGCTAGTGGAAAAGTAGTAGTAAATCTGACAGTTAAAGTGTGCACCTGTGTGGGATGCTCTTAGCCCTGGACGGCTGGGCTGGATCTAATCGAGCTGCTTGAAATTTTGGAGTTTTGGATGAAGATAAAACACTGGTAGTAAATGCATTTCAAAAAATTACATATGATGCATCTTAGAATAGGTACATATATAGAAATCATAGATTTCAGTTAAGGTCATAGACAACGGACAACCACAAAGTTCTCTCTCTCTCTGCAATTCAATTCTACGGAGATAAGTCATGAAACAATGATACGTCACACGAAGCGGACATAACCAGATCCGAGCTCAATCTTATGGGAGATTCGGAGTCGAAGCAAGCAAATCTGATATTTTAGATTTGATCGAACTAAGACAGATTCAGTAAGTATATATAATATTCACAAAATCAACTAAAAATGCACTCTCAATCCATGAGTGTAGTATATAAATAAAAATTTGCAAAGTGGTATAAATTATAACTTTAACTAATATAATTAATAAACCATGAGGCTCAGCTCAGATTAGTGCTTAAGGTTAGAAATACAGGTGAGTTTCACGAGACTCAAGGTTAGAGCTAGAAAAACAGTAAAGTATCCAAACTAATTTTACAAATAAATCTATAAAAATCCTTTTGATGGGATAGATTCCCCCGCCACCCCACCCTAACCAACCCTTCGGTGAGATTTAAAATTAAATCAAAGCAAACCATTTGAACTTATTCGTGGTTTGAAAGGGTGATTTTGTTTCATAACCATATATCTCCTTATGATTTGAACCATCGTAGACATCATGTTATATATAATTGTGGTTAACTGATTGTGTTCTAAATCAAACAGAATTACAAGCATTATTCTATTTGTGGTTATTTTTTGGACTCAACACATTGTAAACTTTTGTGGCTCACATGTATAATTCAACCTTAATCATATGGCTATTTGTTTATTATATGTTAACAATAATATAATACAATATGTGAAAAAGTATATATAATTACTTACTTTGACATGTATATTTTGCATTTTATACAATATTAGAATATGGCCCAAGATGCACAATATCTTAAACAGAAAACTAAAAGCATATTCTTAAATTGTTAAATAACATGCTTTTATGTGATGATTGATATCATATCTCTTAGATTATATTTATATATCCATAGATTCCATACCTCTAAAATTTGCTTCTTTCAAGCAAAATCAATTTGTTTTTGCCTCTCCAAACAAAGTCATTATTTTCCTACTTTATTATGTGATGATTTAAAAGACACACAACAAAAAACATTGATGTTGTAGCTCACCCCCTAAATTGATTATGCATTAATATCACAAACAGAAGGGAATTCACATTTTTATGCGGCCTCTTTTGCTTCTCGTGCTTCTGGATCCAGCGCTTAGTATATGGTACCGTAAAATCTCAGGCATAAATGTGAGAATGCAGATTCAAGCCCAAAATGACTACTTTGTACAAAAAAATGCAAAGGTTAGCTCCATATCCAATAATCCTCCCAGTTCATTTCCCATTGTTAGGTTAAGAAGTTTCAATAAACCTGATGGTAACGCCAGATTCCATTTCCTTCTGAGACTCGAAGAGTGATAGGTAGAGGCAGAGCCACATTGAAGCTATCACTTCACACCATGGATGAATCTGTCTCAGCTTGCAAATTTAATCTTATTACTTAAAGATCAACAAAGAGAGAGAATAAAAATAAATAACCAATATTATGAACATTCTCTCTCTCTCTCTCTGTTTTGTCAATGATCCTCAATTTTCTTCAACGCTTTCATATCCGTTGTTTCCACCCTACGATACAACAAAATAAACACAGGTCAAGATAAATTTATCTACAACAGCAAAAAAAAGGTGATTCATGTGTTGTAACTGGGTACAAGGGAGCTTGGATCTGCTGACCACAAAACACTGGCCACATCCTCTACACAAGACACTACAGCTGCACGTCAGGAACATCTTCCCATGAATGTCAACATAAAATACAAGAAACTGTCCGGCTGTAGGCTCTTGTAGCCAGCGTTTTGTGGTCAGCAGATCTCGATTAGCTCCAAGGACAAAAGTACCAAAAGTCAATAAAAGTAACAAAAATAACACTGTTAGCAGTCTTAAAGAATAAAAAGTACAAAATACTGGATGGATAAAATACACTTTCACTTACAAAATGATATTCATACAGATGTTCATTGTGTCAAAATATCTCACTTCCCTAAAATTCAGTAACTTCATGTTGCAAGTTCTCAATATTAATTTATTTGTGATTTTTGATATTTCTCAAAATATTTTTTTGGCAGATATTTCTCAAAATATTGACCTATGGAAAACATATCCAATATTTTGCCAAAATTAACATTTAAATAGACAATCTTGTGGAAGAACGCAAGCAAGTTTCGCAAATTGCAGATCATTCCAAATATTAATTCTTTAACCCTACTCTTTCTTAAGGGCTACTTGATAATGGCTGAAGTAGCTGAACTAAATAACTTATTGATTTGTCTTTTAGTGGATAAAATAATTAAATAATAAAATGTTCAAGGGTATGGTAATTGATGTAACGCGATCCGGTCACTCCTAGCTGGCACTCACGTGGCTCCTAGAAGGTACCTGAGATGAGGAAGAAGAAGAATCCCCGGGGAGTTTACCCGGTGGGGATACTCTGATGCCTAAGTTAGTACTATGTAGGGGAAGCAAGAAGGAGACGAAGGCTAAGAGTGTAGATAGCGCGTTCTCACTATACTTTAGAGATTAGAGGTCTCAAGAAGAAGTTTCTCTTCTGCCCTGAGGGCTTTTATAGGGACATTTACGTCAGGTTGGGCATAACCGCCACTGGGCTCCTGCCACAGCCGTTACCTGCCAGGGCTGCACAGGTGGCCGTTGTGGCGTACGTCTCGCCCGGGTGAGTGACACGTCTCCGGAGTGATAGGCACACCCTTGCCTGCTGTGAGACGTGGATGCAGACTGCTGAAAGGACTGGGACTGCGCCGTCAGTAAGGGGTACAGCGCAGTCTGACCGGTACGGTCTGTCAGTCGGAAGCTTCCTGGGGCGTGCTCGTGCGGCTCATTCGCGAGCTATTCTGTAGCGAACTTGGAACACTCCGGGGTTACCCTTAGTAGAATTGGCCCTGGGGATGGCTTGTCTGCTTGGGAGCTCGAACGAGCTAATGACTTTAGCTCACGAGCTAAAATTGCCTCGGAGTATCTCTTCAAAGGTAGCTCGGGGAGCTCGGGGTTTGCGTCGCGGCGAACTCCTTTCGCGAGCTACAATGTAGTGAGCTGCTTTGTAGGCCCGTCACTTGGTCGTACCAGGCTACAACGCTGAGCTATCGCTCGTGCTGAGTCAGTGTCCATGTGTCGCCGTTTCATAGGTGGGGTCAAATCACCCTCCATCAATTGCCCCCCACTCCTTGGGCTAAGAGCACTACCTTAGCGCGGGGAGTTTATGAAGCGCGATGGACTGATTTGACCGAAATTCAAACTTGATTGACTGCCCACATTAAATGCATTTGCAGGAATCAAGAGATTTTCTGACTCCGGATTCCGAAAACGTGCTGAGGTGGCTTTTAACTCCGAACGTCGTGCGGCCGCGATTACCTTAATTACGGAAGACGTGCTGCCAGTCACCTTTGGTTTTCAGAAGGCGTGCAGTCAGGGCGCCTACAGGCCATTGGATTTGCCTTGATCCGGACCGTCAGCTTGGAAGGGTGGAGATACTGACTCCCCAGAGGATGAGGAGGCGGATCCCTGAGGCGGTGTTTCTCTAGGCTTCTGGTGGCTTCCGGGTGCCGTAAACCCGGTCTTTCACAAGTCTTTGGTTGGGCGGTTGTGCCCTGTGATAGTCAGACTTTCCCGAGCTGTTTAGCTCGGTTATTGCATTGTTATTTTTCTCTTTCTCTTTTTCTTTGAAATGATAATGAAAGTTCTTCCTTTCTTCTTCCAAGTATGATGGGCTCTTTGTATCTTTGCTAAGGCGATCTCGATACCCAAGCTATTAGAGCTATATACCCGAAGTAAGGCATCTCTATGGTGCACGACAAATCGATTACCACGTGTGCCCGAACTATGTGCTCGT